ACGCGCTGCGAATCGTCCCTTGGCTCCGCCTTCTTGCCGCTCCATGGGCCACCTGTCGGGAACCCAAATTCCATAATTAGTTGGGTGGAATTTAAATTGAGAAGGAGCACGGGCGGTACGGGTTATAATGAGGACGTCATGGCTAGAAGTATAGAAACGACGTAAAGTGAGCGGCCGGCCAACTCCTATGCACTCTATCCTGCTGCCTAGTTGTTCGAGCACGCTGCCCACCTCCCAGTTCGTTACCGCCACCGTGCTCTCTAATACGCCGCATTGTGCGATCTCTCTAACAAACGAGGGAAAGCTCTCCCCGTGCGCGATGGCCCAAATCAAAGAGAATAATGTATACGTCTAGTATCCCGTGCGAACACGTGATTCATCCAATTACCTTCCAATCTGCTAAACGATTTCCTGAACAGAGCTATGAAGCAAAACAGCGCAACGGTAGTGGTCGGGGCTCACAATCAAAGCGTCGTAGGATCAGCCCCTCATCATATTGACTGTTTCCCATTCCTTAGGAATACAGCTAAAACTCGGCTTAAACTTTATTTAACATGAAATTTTTCGGAGAATGCAAACAAGTAATTTTACGTATAAGGACATTATGATGTGAGTCCTGGCGCCACTACCGTTGAGCTGTTTGCTTCAATAGAATCTTGTTCAGAAAATAGTTGAGGCAGATTGAAAAGGCTAGTATTTGCATTTTCAGCGTTCGAAGCGCACACGCTACAAGTCATACCATCTTTTCTTCTTGAACGGTCTCATTCGACTTGGGAGCCTTTCCTTGTAAGCACACATTCTCTCTTGCTTCGCTGTCTGTTACTTTGAGTCCTCCAAACTTCAAACAAAGAGGCCCGTTTCTCGATGTTTTCAACAGTTTATTACCTGCTTCTCTTTACCATTGGACCGATTCGTACCTCTGCTTTCCTTTTCGAGCCGAACAACCATAAAATTTTGACCGTGGGATGTGCCTTTAATCACTGACCTACGATGGCCAACCACTGTTTTTACTTGCATTTCTATCTCCCTTCTTAACAAATTAGAAGCATCGAGTTACAAGAGTTAAGGTAAAGGACCGTTTGAACGTTTGATTTATGAAGAAACCCATATTCCTCTCTCAAGAAAAATCTAGAAAGGTGAATTAGACAGCTGAAGTAAAGTTAAGTCAGCCCATCTGTAGGAAGGTGTACATGGAAAACGACAACCAATCAGCGCCCACCCGCGAAAATGAGAAACAACCAAAGGAAAAAAGCAGGGTGATTTCTTGGAGACGACAAGAGCCAAAACGAAATGGGTAAGAGTGACAAATTAATAATGATGTCCACATAAATTGTGCTTTGACAGCACAAAGCTTCAACTTACAAGGCAAGATAGGTAGCCAGAAAGGCTCACATTTGGCAGGATCAGAGATATAAATAGCATTTATTACCGAGAACGTCTACATGTCGGCTTCTTTATTATAGCAAGCATCGAAAATAGCGTTAGGAAATTTGAGAGTTTAGATTTGTTTCAGGTTTGAGATTTTTGGAAGTCAGAGATTTTTGTAGACTTCATGAGGAATATTCTTCTTAAGGCTTCAAGTCACACCCCATGAATGGGTCAGTGAAGGAAGCCTCAACTCGAGAAACGTAGGAGTGGTCTGCAAACATATAGAATACGCTGACTTCTCAGACCGAAATTGCCAGGCAGAGGCGCTAAGGCCTAAGCGTGCACACTGAGCTCTACTTAAGCTATTGGAATCAGGTCAACCCTCCGTTGTTACGAAGTAACATACGGGGTGGGCGGGTCGTACTCGCTTGCAGCTTGGAGAGGGGGGGGGGGGGGGGGGGGGGTTTTTTTCCCCCGGTTTTGTTTTAAAAAACTTTCTCTCGGTGGCCGGCAGTGGGATTCTTTGCTGATACCCTACTGATCATGGATAATGGTACGAAGGGAAAGAGCAAACGCAGCACAGAAAGTGTATATTATGTAGTGTATATAAGTGCAATTATGCAAAGCCTTCTCCCCGCATAGACGCAGTGATGAAGAAGGAAGACATGCAGCATCGTCTGAAAAAAGGGCTCGCACCATGACATGGATAAAGCCACGAAACCACATATGAACTATTGCCTGTGGAAACATGGATAATAGCCAGCACGTTACGTTTGCGCAAGATGACTGAAACTAGAGCCTCTACTATCTGTAAACCACGCTTCCCTCTAAATGAGCTTTCAAATGAATCAGCGAATTAGAAGGGCGCCCGAGGCGTGGCGCGCACCAAGGCAAGGGATGTAGTGCAAGCGCATGCTCGGAGCTTTCTAGCACATCCTAAATTAAACATGAAATTGGTCTTCCAAGAAGTTACGGGCAGTGAAACCTAAGAAAACCCGCGTTTTCGAGAAAATGGCTTGAAGAATACCCCTCAAAAAAAAAAAGTACAACGGGACTAATTTTTGAACTGCTGATCTTTTCAGGAACGCTTGGGTGCTCGTTAGAAAGCCTGTGTTTATTACCGTGTTCAGCTTCCCAAATGAATGACTTTGAAGGAAGTTATGATCGTTTGAAGGTAAAAAAGTCGCGGTTCCAAAAAAATAGTAACGCAAACCCCCAAAAAAGTAACAACGGGACTAATTTTTGAACTACTGATCTTTCAGGAACGCTTGGGTGCTCGTTAGAAAGCTTGAATCCTGTAGTTTATTATACCGTGTTCAGCTTCCCAAATGAATGACTTTGAAGGAAGTTATGATCATTTGAAGGTTCTGTCCAAAAAGTCTTTTGCAATAAAATTTTGAAGTCTCACATTGTTTAATACACATTTAGAAGTTATGATCGTTTGAAGGTCAAAAAGTCGCCTTTGCACAGAAAAAAGTAACAACGTACAAAATTTTTACTAAATTAACTTTCCGAAGAATTTTTACCCTGGTTGGAGAGAAATAATTTGAATTTTCCAAATCAAATCACTTCGGCGCAGAAGCTCGAATATGAAGGAAGTTATAGCCCTAGAAAGAGGAGTGTAAAATTGTGTTTCAATTTTATTTTTTGCCTAATAACTTATTCATTCCGAAGTGTTTGAGAACAAATGAGCACTCGTTAGGAAGAAGGAGCCACGTCGATCCAAAATCCACCTGAATCTTCCGAACTACCTGAAATGTAAAAAAAAAAACTCCTCGAATTTTCACATTCCCCGTTCGACGCCTCTTCACCGTGAGCAAATGCGCTCCACCGTCAGGAGGCCAAAGGGACTTACGTAGCCATAAATATTGATGGTAAACACTATCTCTACACGAGTGTTACATAAAAAAGGGGGGGGGTCGTAAAATTTACCAAGAAGTAACAACTAATACACGGCCTGATTGGAATCGCCGGCCCAGAATAGTGTCAAGGCTTGTGTAACGCCCTTGGAGGCCGTGCTTTCTTCGACCTACGATTCGTTTCCCCTCATCGCGGTGCCCAGAAATCTACTATGGCTGCTCTCGCTTCTTAGAGTTCTATAGCAGCAGCTCACATTTTCACTGGCTCTTTGGTTGGTGCAGGTCCGATCCCATACTCCATCTTCTTTTCAGCGGAATATTCTGATCTCCTACTTATCCTAATGAAAGATCCAATTCGTCCTGATCCCCTGTCAAACATATATTTTCATTGTCTTCACGGCTCTCTAATCCTCAAAATAACTATGCCGAATATCCCACCGCCTCTATTGTCAATGCTTCTATAACAAGGAAGCCGAATGTAGATGTTCTCGGTAATAAAAAAGCTATTTAGATCTCTAATTCTTGCCAAATGATGTGAGCCTTTCTGGTTATCTGTCTCGCCTTGATGTTAAAACTTTGCGCCGTTCGATTGGTAGTAGTGCCTTAGAGAATAGAAACACTGAATTCTACATAGGCTGGGTCCGCAAGTTATGATCATACCGCCATACTCTAACACACCACCTACAAATTTTGAAATGAAGCAGCAAGAAGACGCGGCGCATCCCCGTAAAGGTTGGTCAACATCGACGCCATATCCTTTAGGGCCCTAATGTATGCTTCCCGAAGAGGAGAGGAATCCCATCTCGGTAAGGTATGCTTCCCTGAAACTATATCTCGGGGAAGGCCACGCCTACCGGTTGGGATAAATCCCCAGCTCATGCCCGTTGGAGAAAGACCAGAAAAGGGGTTCTCTCCTGCCTGGAGAAGCGAGTACCTTAGCCGCGCAATGTTCTTCTGAATATAATCGGCTCACACTCCACCTCTCCTACCAACAACAGCAGGGGCAAGCCGACTGGAGTCCACATCTCTACAAATCAGACAATCACTGAGACATATTTGAAAAAGCGGATAGTTAGATTTTCTATGAAGGTGAAATCGCATTGATTCCACTGCTGCAACAATTTTCATGAACACTTTTTTGAGGAGGAAGATCGCTATTGTGATTATTTTCTGAAAATTGAGCACCGATCAGAAGGTACTCGGTGGTGAAAAGCTTCCAAATCCGCTTTCAAATTCGTCCACTTTGAAGAAAGTTATGTCCACTTGCACAAATGTCCGAATTTCAACGTATACTCTTAGTAGGAAAGATAACCCAAAGGTCAGCACAGCACTGTAACGGCGCCGTCCCCCCCCTTCTTATCTCCGCGACGGGCAATGCGATTTAAGTCGATCTGTGTCGCTTCCATCGCTTGTCGTCGCCGAGGGTGATGAGCGGTCTGAATCCCGGAAATCAATCCTTAAAACTTGTCAACAACTGTGAGTTCAAGAGCTGTTGAAACAACGATTCTGTCAACCTTGCTGAGAGTAATTTATCATTTATTAGATCGGTCCATAATTTCCGGACCATTTTTTATTTAATGCCACAAAATTCCTCAATAAATACCCGTTCTCTACGTATCCATCTATTCACCGCCCCCCATCGAGCCTGATGCAAAACCCTGCACCTTGGTCACTGAGCTAACGACCACGACGCTGAGAGAAGTCCTCGGACGGAACGTTTCACGATCAAGCTGACATCTGGCAGACTACTTGCATCTGCGTCAAGCCCTTCAATTAGCTCGATATCAGAGTACTGCTCCTGTTCTGAATCGCTTGGGCGCACCTTGAAAAATGAAATTATTAAAGATAAAATATTTCTTCTCTTTTACTGAAATCTAACCTCTGATACATAAGACGACGTATTCCCCGCATGATCTTCCGATGATGTATCCGACGCACCTTAACATAACACTAAACAGCGACAATGTGTGGAGCACCAACTATGGAAACTTTCCAATCACGGAACTGGGCAGTTCCGTTACAGGAAATTTGATTACAAACAATAATAAATAAGCCAAATGGAAGCAACGTTTTAGGTCTCAACTTTTTATCTAACTGGCTTTAAGAAAGCCTATTGAGAAGCCATTAAAGCTTCACCATCCTCCGCACGCAAGAACACGGTCACTTGATTCAAAGTTAGCCATCGTCATTTGCCGTCCGAACGAACAGATCGCCCCATTGCTTCCGGCACAATGCGCCGTGTCTGGACGACCCTGGCCTAGGATTGATTTCTTCAAAACTCCTTCTTATGGCAGCCTTTCATTCGTGACTAACCGAATGGGATCAACCACACGCCGGGCTGCATAGAGTATCAACCAGAACGTAGTTGCAAATAATAGTGGTGTACGCTGCAGATTGGTCCCCTAACAACAGCAAGGATGTGTTCCCTTCCCTACGTAAGCTTTCGTCTTCCGCTGTGGTCCTCCCCCCCACCCTGACACCAACAGCTCATGGAGGTGACGCGTTTAACAAAAAGGATTTCATATCTACAGGGTGCGCCAAAATTACGGAGACAACGCATGAGCAAACAATTTGAACTGATATTCACAGATGCTGTTTTCTTCTGTCCTAGTTTTGGTACTGTGGTGTAGAATTGTTTATGCTTACCTTGTTCAACCACCAAAATCTATGGTAGCTGCAGCGGTTGACTGATACTGACACCGTCCCTAAATCATTGGACTCGACGTTGAGGGTTTTTGGCACGCGACAATTATCATCGTTTTGGTGTATACCCGAGCACTATCAATAGATGCTCCAAATGGTACAGGGGACAAGGAGCTGAATGCAGTCATTCTGGATGAGAAGGGCGTGTTTCTGTGGCGACCACGAACAATCTAAGGATTGTGTGCGATAGAATTTGCAGGTAGTTGACGCGCTGGTTTCACTGGATGTCACGAGAGATAGGAATCAGGGGGGCTCTTTTGGACTTATCAGAGCCCATTGCTATCCTGAGTTTATTTTCACTTTGAAAATCGTTGCTGGGCCTTCCATCAAGTAGGAGCTCCCGTTTACGAGGCAAGGGTGGTTCAGTACTAGTGCAGCATTGATGCAGAACCGATTTTTTCGACTTTGTCGGCTTAAACGGTGGTAGAACAGCATTTCAGATCTGAGCTCGATAGGGTACGCTGTCGGATCCGTTCTAGAAGCTGAGGCTTGCATAAAACACATTATGTCTAGGGATTCGTTGAAGAAACCGCTCTAAAATGAGCTTGACGAGTCCTACTCGCCACATTGCGTGCCACAGTCGATGGTTCCTCGATGTTTCTGAGGACCCGTATAAACACAAACCAAGGAATTTCAAAAATTGCATGGATGTCGACGATTCAGAATGGGACTGTGCACGTCACTGCATTTTTGTTTTCAAAGAATTGCACCTTGCTCATCCTAGGCAACTCGAAGTCGCTGTCTCCGTAATTTTGGCGCACCCTGTAAAGGCACTCGCTAATCATAACATAATCGGTAGATTTTACACCTCCCTCCTTCACTGCCCTTCAGTTGCCACTCGCAGCACTATGTGGAAGGATGGATCGAAAGCGCTGAATAGATGTTTATACAGCCTTTGAAGGTGTTATCACAAACATGCCATTGCAAAACATTAATAGTGGAATTCATTCTGGGCGAGCTAAACCCAGAACTTTGCAGCGACTTCTTATCCACTAGCTGCCTCATTACTCCACTTCATCTTGTCGGACGATGCTACTATACCCTCCCCTTCAAAAAGCGAGAAAGTGTCGGGTGCAGACCATGCACCACAAGTGACGACGGCCTTCACAAAATGTTAATGTTTTCTGCCAATGAAATGATTAGCCTGTTGCAGTTGTATTCTATCGATTGTCACTAATTACAACTATCATTTACCAGAAATCAGCTATCACTATGAACAACTTCTAACCAGATTTACTTGGAGGCCGTCGTCAGTTGTGGTGTTTGGTCTGCACCCGACACTTTCTCGCTTTTGAAGGGGAGGTTTATCATTACATCTACACAAACCGACACACCAAGTTAGCGAATATATTTACCAGATTAGTCCCCCGTCAACCGCCGGGACCTTCCTTTCCTGCGCAAGCTTTCTATCCTCCGCTATGGTCCCTTCCTCCTGTGACACCAACACCTCTGGAAGTGACGCGTATGCAACACAATGGTGTTTCATACAGTAGAAGGGACACAATCATGATATGACGGTAGATTTTTCGCTTCCCTTCCTCATCCTCCCTTCCTCTCTCCACTGCCCTCCAGCTGCCACTGCAGCACCATGTGGAATGAACGGAAGTGTGCTAAGCAGGTGTTTATATAGCCCTAAGAGTGTTATCACAACTATCCTGCTACAAAACATTGATATCTCAAATCCTGTAAGCTACCCGATTTGTTAGCGGTTTGTTTATCCCATGAGCTTCCTTCTCACTCACTTCATTTTGCGGACGGACACACATACACATACACACACACATACAGATACACAAACCGACACACAAAGTTAGCGCTTTATAAAATAGAAGGATAAGGAAAGGATTAAGCAAATGATAATAAAAGTAATAAAACGCCGTCAATGCTTCAAAGAAAAGATCTAACCATCAAGATTCCGCTCCTGCTCCTCAGCGCTGTGGGAACTTTGCTCATCTTCAGCAGAAACTTCTGACGAAGAACTGCTGGATACCGCATTGTTACCTGAACCGATTTTTATCTAGTTATGATTCTTTCTTCCTAAAAATATCATACTCCATAA